CTGCTCTCTTATCATGCTGTCTGCCTCTCTCCCTCCCCGCCACACATTCGCACACACTGGACAGATTTAGAGCAACCACTCTTGCAGCAAAAATGAACGGAAAAATGTTCGTATGATTCTGCTTACTTTTGTTCTTAATGTGAAATAAAACCGACAGAAAACTGTAACAAAATCATCGTTTCTACAACCGGCACAGTGGTTGGACATGGAGTTTACGGCAAACGTTAAAAGGAACAATTGCTTTTTTGGCTTGTGCCTTCGGCCTCTTCTGCCAATAACCGAAAATATTTGCATCAGACAATGACGAAAGGTTTTTTGCTCTTGCTTACAGGGGTCAATTCTAGAATACTAAGAAAAGTAACTGAAATTACTATCCATCTTTGCCGTTTGTCGTAGCTGTAAAAAGTTATGCTTAAACTCGTTATTCTCTCTCCTACGTGGTTTTCCTTCAGATTACTTCAGATCTTAACGGCACCTGCACATCAACATTTGCAGCCACCTCTGCAGCGACTGCAATGGCTTCTGGGATCATAGCGTTAGCGATGGAAGTCAAGTGAGTAGATATAACCGACTGACAAGCATTCCGTAAGTACCTTACTCTTCCTTATTATGGCGATTTCTCAGCTTCAATTCCTCCATGCTTTCATGCTCCCAAAGCTTGGATTTGCGAGTGTAAGTCGTGTCGTTCCTCGCCTTTCTTAAGGCCTATTTACACGGTACGACTTTGTCGCATGCGACAAGCTTACGACAGGCCTACGACATGACTTAGGACAATTTACACGCGCACGACATTTTCACCTACGACATGCCAAAATCACGTGCAATTCCACTCGTTTCGGCCGCGGTCATTGTTTCAATAATTTGCAAGAGAAGGAAAAGAACCTCTTCCTCGCTCCACAGTGATATCATATTCTCTGTTTCCTCATCTGAGAATGTATTTTTCGCTTTGGAAGCAGTCTTCGACTTTCCGGAGGCGACTTCCTCCGCCATTTTGACGCAAGAAAATTTCACCTTCCTCCCCTACTCAGTAGAAATTTGTCACAAAATACGTCATTTTCTATCAATTTCGGCTACGATTGTCGCAGCGTTTTAAAACATGTTTTAAAATCCTACGACATTTTTCGTGACGTGCACGACAGTCGTAAGCGAGTGGTAGGTTTGATTTACACGATACAATTCGTGTCGTAGGCCTGTCGTAAGCTTGTCGCATGCGACAAAGTCGTATCGTGTAAATAGGCCTTTACATGCCTTTACAGTGTGCGTGACGACCATTCCTTCCAACTCTCGCTCTTTACCCACCCACGCCCTCCCCCTCCCAATCTTTTGGTTTCGATCTCACGCACGATGATGTAATGGCGGTGAATAGTCTCGTGCCCAGACTTTCCACGGCCAAGCGGTTACATATTTCGGTTGCAGCTGCACGTTAGGATCTGGCTACAAGATTAGGCGGTGAATTATTTACGATGAAAGTGAATGATACCTGATGACGGTAAATGATGTGTAATGACTGTGAATGGACTGTAAAGTCGGTGACAGCTAGTCACGAAAAATTGCAGTTTTCTTTAAGAGGCCATTAATCAATTTCAAATGTATGACTTTAGAATCGTTTGCCTCTCGTTATTTTTACTTCAATGCGAAAGCCAGCGACAGTTACCTATTAAACTGAAAACTTCGTTGAGATCGCACCATCCAGAGCTTTCAGAAAGCTCGATCAAGGGAAAGTTAAAAAAAACTAGTTAAATTTGCCATATGAGTAGGCGTGAAAGGATGAAGAACATTCGTTTGCCGCTGGTTTTGTTTTGTTTGCTTATTTTTCTTCATGTTGAACAGGTGTATCCTCATTGATTGAAAAGGTTTGGAGAAGTTTGCGTCTTAATGTAATTTCCCTTAGAATTGCGAAATGTGAAGGGGCCACAGTCACGTCTTTTCAAAACCAATGTCTCAATTATTGTTAATTGAAAGGGTTTGCTCTTCTAAATGGCATTGTACCCGCAGTTTATTGATACAGTCAAGGTCACGTAACGACAAAAATTAATTTCAAGGTCTCAATTTGGCGGCCTTCGTCCAAGCCGAGAAAAACAGGAAAAAAGTTGCAGCAATTTTTGTCAAGTTTAATCCTTGCCAACTTTGCTAGTCCCACCCTCCTTTTGGCTTTCCTCTAATTAAACGAAATCCTACCTTAATGGAAGTCGACTGCGAGATGTTTAAGAGATGTTTAATGCATTCAATACCCACTTGGTCGGGGGGGGGGGGGGGGGGGAATGGTGACACAAAATCGCTGCAGAAAAAGGCTCATTTTTCATCACAACGCCTAATGCGCCATATAGTTTGAAAATCTAGATAATGTGAGCAACACAAAAATTCACGATAAAGTAAATAACAGAGCGCTGTCTAATTTTGGTTCGGAAGTCGTATCAATGTCTTGGTACGTCACAGAGGAAGATCTTTTGCCATTATTAGTCGTAAGTAACTCTCATAATTAGAATACAGACATGTGGCGGAAAAAGCGCACAAAAGTCGTCTTTACTCGTGAAGGAAACTTTTGGCTTGGCCAAGCAACATAGCGTTAAATTTGCAGACACGGCTACAATTCTGGCAGGTGAATTTGAAGTCATACATCCGGCCTATTTCTTGGTTCTTACTTCTTCCGCTTTCCGTCTTTTAAGTATAGGGATAGAACTACATAACAGTGATAACCATTTTTTTTCTTTTCGTTAGAACGTTCAATTTTGCAGTTGTGGCTGTATGTTCTTCTTTCATTTTCACTTTTTAGCCCCCAAAGTTCTTAAATATGTTCTTCAGTTTTTCTAAATAATATTGACTGTTTTTGATGTTGTTTTTGTAGCACTTATACATTTTGAATAGTGAGAAATTCGACTTTAACCTCATTCGAACTTCAATTTGCAGCTTTTGAATAAATATCCACGTCATTGAGATCAGAAGAAAAAGTCCCTCAAAATAAACGCAAGATCGGATATTTCTGTGTTTTTAGCTCGATAAAAATGCCGGATAGAGATAGGCCATCCACTTTTGGTATACTTCTGCAGATGGAATTCTTTTTTTAGTTTATTTTGAACCAATGGCCCCACAGTAGGTTCTCACAAACAAAACAGAATTAAAAAACTGAAGCTCGCTGATGTCAGCCTGGAGAAAGCCATCTGTTTAAGGCTATATAGCTAGTTAGAGGTATTTTATAAATTATATAAATGGGCAGAAAGCTGATATAAATTGTTTGATATTGGAAAGGAATGAGCCAACTTATTGCTTCCACGGTAAGCCATGCAGCTGTCAGTATTTTGCAAATATCCTCAAATAGCGTGACCCCAGTCCCTTATCGTTTCGTAAATAAAATGATTTGAGACTTGTGGGACCCTCAGGTAATGCTGCTAAAAAACAAAACTGTAATCACGTTTAAGATGTTGAATTATGCTTTTTGTAGTCTCAAGGGGAAAACTTTTAAATTCTAATGTGGGGGCGGATGATCTCGAATGAAATATCCTGCTAGCATGATTGGAAATTTCGAGTTCATAGAAAATGAATTTTTTAATAAAAATCCTGTTGAAAAAAAATTTCGGCTCATACGTTATCACTCCTAATTTCATGGTGATATGACTTCAAGGTGATATGACCCGGAGGCTATCTCTGAATTATTTTCATTCAAAAGAGGATGAACTCTCGATGTAAATAATCAGTAGAAAAGAATATGTTAACCGTTACCAGGTGTTTTGAAAGTTATAAGTTGATTTAATTTTATGAAATTTTTACGCAATTCCTTCCAGTTTATTCTGACCCGAACCCTTTGAAGCATGCTGGATTGATTATCGCGGTTACAATATCTTTCCCAGCTTGGTTTAAGTCAAATTTAGTGTTTTGAATGAAACATTGTTCGTAATTAGCTTTTTGCGAAATGTTATTCATTTGGTGTTTTGTTTTTTCACTCAAGCCCCTGGTGTAAAAAGTCCTCGGCAATATATCCACCCCACCCACCTTCCCAAATTAAAACCCCAACTGCTAAAACGTTGCCTGAAAATCTGAAAGTTCGTGGTAGAATAACGGGTTTTTACCGAACTTTCCATCGTCACGCTTAAATCCAAAACCCCAATTTTGTGCTGTGCCTTTAAACTTGTCTCCATTTTATAACTTTATTTAGTGTCAGTTCTGTAAAAATGGTTTATTTGAGTTCCGGATGCCCTTTGAAGTACTGCAGAAAAATGTCGTCGTATGTTTGCCAGTTTAAATTGACATGTAAAAGAAGTAATTACCACGAAGAAAAAGCTAATTAAGAACATTTCTAAGACTTGAATTTTGGCGCAAAACGCCGCCGTTTTTTGGTGTACATAGATAAATTTATACAATAGTCCAAACTTACGAAATAGTTATAGAATAAACAAAGATAACTGACGGAATACAAAATATTCAAATGGTCCAAACGCCTGACTTTTAGTATATACCACACAGGTGAATATCACACACACACACACGGTTTTTTCGCGCGCTGATTGGCCGGTTCGGAAGCGATTAGCAATTACTATTTACCCTCAAGCAGACGAAAAGACAACACCGTGTGTCAAGAATTTAATTTCTGACCAATTTTTTGGTATGTTGTCATAATTGAACCAATCTTTTGGTTTCTGTGTGGTACGTATTTGATCTCAGTCGTTGAAAGTGATCAAGGTGACCTCGCCACTTCGCAACTAGGTACATGTTCACCGCTATCCACCTACACTTCTGTGAATAATTGTCAATTATTAGTATGGCAGCGTGATACTTCCAATTTCTCAGTCTGCGTCTTGAATCGTAAATTCTTAGGCGCCAAGATGTCTGAGCGCGGAGCTGATGTTTCCAATTGGAAAGGAATTGTGGTTTTAAGGGTCTCTCCATTTCAGAGTAGCCCATAAATTCGAAAATATTTCTAATACATGATTTATGATGTTGGCAATATAAGAGGAGTTGTGGCTCCAAGGCCCTTTCCATTCTTTATCATAAAGTTAAAAAGATAACAAGAAACATTCATTATGCAGCTGTTAAGTGTTAGATGACAGCAAGTTATTGATACCCAACGGCAAACAGCGGAAATAATTGGTGATTTGACCAATATTAACTCCTGTCAATCAACAAATGATCCGCTTTTGACTTGTACTTCCCCGTCGTTGCGGATGTTTAAGGGAGATCATAAGATCAAGATTTTCGGCGAGAGTTTTTAAGTGCGATCTTAACATTTAACGACTCAGAGAGAGGAGATAGGTTTCCACTTTTGATATAAGTTAATCTTTTTCCTCGAAAGATTTGATAATCAATACGTTAATAACTCTGAGCTGACATAAGTTGGGAACCACCGAAAAAACTATCTATGGCGAACATCACTGCCGAAGATGAAGCTAACACAGTCAAGACAGAAATCTTGCATTATATAAGCAGTGCTCCAGGTGGCGTATCTATTTTTCTTGCAGCTTTAAACATAGTTCTCGCCATCGTCGCAACTCTGGGAAATTTTCTTCTCCTGATTGCATTGCGTAAAGTCATATCAATTTATCCTCCAACAAAACTTTTTTTCCGAAGTTTGGCAGTGACTGATCTCTTCGCTGGTCTCATCGTGCAACCAATGTACTCAATTACTCTTATACCAGGGATAAGCCACAAGAATCTTATGTACTACAGCATCCAAGTAACTGGCATCTCTGGCTCAATTCTTTGCACCGTTTCGATTTTGACTTCAACCGCAATCAGTGTGGACAGGCTTCTGGCGCTGCTTTTGGGGCTGAGATACAAACAGGTTGTAACACTGAAGCGCACACGAGCGGTGGTGGGCTGTATTTGGTTACTGAGCTGTTCAATGGGTGGATGGAGGTACAGTAATTGGGGCGCTGAAGTTTCCAAATTCACCTTGTTTGTTTTGATGCTTCTGTCCCTAATAATTTCCATCTGCTCTTACACGAAGATCTATCTCTACCTACAAAATCAACAAGCTCAGTTACACGCAAAAAAACACCGTGAGATCCATCAAGAGCCAACATCAAACGGAGGAGAAGGTCGACTGAATATAGAAAGATATAAGAAGTTGGTTTCTAGTATAGCATGGGTACAGTTGGCTTTACTTCTGTGTTTTATTCCCTTTACTGTTGGGAGTATGCTATTCACACACAGAAAACTAACTGGTGTGGCCACTGGAATAGCGCATTTTTGTGTATCAATCCCATATGTGCTGTTTAACCCAGCTCTGAACCCGATTCTTTACTGCTGGAAGATCAGAGAAGTCAAACAAGCCATGAAGGAGACTGTCAGAAAATTAAACTGCTATTTCAAGTCAAGCTGGTCCTTTTTTCCGTCGAGCATCACTAATACCACCCGAGCTTAACTTAAATTCTGACTGTGCATGGCGTCTTTGAAACATATCTAGCACCATAAGGTGACACTGTGGATCCAGTTTTGACATTGAAAATCGAATTTCGAATTTAATATTCTAAAGCCATCCGGAAACAAAGTAGATTAGAGGAAATTCAAAACCATTCCGGTATAATGCTGTACAAAATTGACAAGGGACAAAACTTTAAAGAATAAACCGTAATTCAAAATTTGTAGATACAAATAAGTTTAAATTTTTAGAAATTATATACGTAAATATTAAAATACGTAAACCGTGAGATTGATATTGATGTTTAATATTATGTTTAATTTCGTGTAAAAATTTGATGTGGAAACAGAATGTTTGAACGATGACATGAATTTTTCAGGCCAAAAGTTATAAGCTGAATATTTCCGCGACAACATAAAGTGCGCGGTAATAACATGTTACAGAGCAGATGCAGCTGTCTACCTGTATATTTATTTTCAAGTCTTTTTCAGTTATTCAGAATAAGCTCAAACGCATGGGCGTATCGTTGACCGGCAATGTTTTCTGGTTTAAAAAATCTTGAGGATACTTGTCAAGGATACGCAACATTCTCGGGAAGAATTCTCGTGCGCTGCACCATTATTTAGTGTTGCATGCTTATTTTACCATAAAAAAAGCCGACATTTAAAAATTTTAATATTTGTCCATTTTCTGCACACATGCGCAATTGGTATTTTTGTCACCAGCGTGACTGAGAGTGAACTAAAATTTATCATTTGGCGGAATCGAACGTCAGATCTTCCAGACAGACCACAGAGAACTCGAGGGCGAGTCAGGTCATATCATGATATTCAAATCTTGTTGAGAAGTAAATAGATGTAGACAAGCACTGAAAATAAAGCAATAAGGATTGATATTTTACCACATTGCGTAGTCAGGATTTGTTGACGGTAATTCGTACCTGATTTCACGCGTCGTTTATTTTCAGCTTAATTAAGGGCCTCATATGATACCCACAGAATTTTCAAGCGTTGCATCATACTGACCACAAACTACTTATACAAGTATTTGATAATTTTTTCATTCTATAAAAGTTACGATTAGCTAAAAAATGATGTAGATAAATTTGGTTGAAGACGTGCATAGGCAATAGAAAGAATCCGCTAAGTGATCGAGGGTCAAATTAAATCGTCTGTTTTTAAGTCCACCACCATCGACTCGTGATATTGATATGAGAGGATCGTTGCAAAATGACGGTAACTGGTGTCATTGTTTCCAATTTTTTTTTTACTCTTGAGAAGTCACGACTAGCTTTAAAATAACTGATGTAGATAAATTTGGTTAAAGACTTATATAGGCAATAGAAATAATCCATGAAGTGATCGAAGGTCAAATTAAACCTTCTGTTTCCAAGTCCACGAGCATCGACTCGTGATATTGATATGAGAGGATCGTTGCAAAATGAAGGTAGCTGGTGTCATTGTACTGTTTACAATTTTTTTATTCTAGAAAAGTCATGATGAACTTAAAAATGATTTAGATAAATTTGGTTGAAGACGTGCATAGGCAATAGAAATAATCCATTAAGTGATTAAGGGTCGAATATAACTTTCATTTTCCCAAGTCCACGACCATCGTCTCATGATATTGATGTGAGAGGATCGTTTCAAAATGATGGTAGCTGGAGTCAATTGTTTACACTTTTCTCATGGAAGGAATCATGGGCTCATCCTAGGAAATGATGCGTTCTTCCTAAACACAACGTGCCCAGAGCTCTTGTTGAATCTTTACATCTCGTTTGAAATATTTATTAGACGTGAAAACGAAAAAAATCCCTATGAGAACCATCCATGTTAAGTTTATTTCATCTTATTGTAGATCTGATACAACCGGTTACAAATTCAAGTTCTCATCTTCCTCATTATATACATTTTCACGTCCAATTTTTGCATGTACTGTTAACGCAAATTAAGCATGCAAAGCTACATAAAAAAAAAACACTCTCCACTCTTCTAAAAGGCGATCGATATTGACATTAATTGTAATGTGAGATATTTCCCATAGCAAAAATGAACATGTCCTCAGATATCTGAAAACCGATGGAGCTTATCTTATCGGTGTTGAGACGGGTGGAAATTATTCAATTTATTTGTATTTGTATGACTGAGATGTAATCCTCTCTCGAGCTGTTATATGCACTCCCCGCCTTACAAACTTTTTCTAAGAAGATAGGGGACGGTTATTCAGCTGCTGATTCAAACTTCCTGTGTCGCTGAATATTTAGTAGTTCTCATTATCACCCGGCGATCTCGAGAAAGCTCTTTTATGATGAGTCATTATTGTTTTCTGTTTATTATCGATGTTGTAAAACGAAATCTAAAATTCAACATCTTGAATCCAACACCGCCAAAGGAGACTAAAAACTAATCAAATTTCACATTTTCATATCAATGGTTAACACCACTTTTAACTAATTTTCCCTCAATGAAAATGCCTAAAATACATTTACAGGTAAACAGGTCAAAGTTTTTTTATTTCGATTACATTTAAAGACACTTCATGCATCACGAAATTAGCAGGCTTCTATCAGCCGGTTTAAGGGATTCATTTCGTCTTTGAAACACGCATTGCTTTGCAACAAATATTTACTTAAACTGTACAAAACCGACGGAAATTGTTGTTTACTTTATGCTCTCTATGATTTGTCTTTTTTTTTTCTCGAAAAAGTCTTTTTAAAGAGTTGACAGGGATTTAAAAGAAGAAAACATACAAATTACTATTTACATTATGCTCCCGATTAGTTGTTGGTTTTTTTTTCTCACAACAAAACATACCTATTCTCAACTGTTTATTTTGACTCGAATTTTTAATCCGAATTTATGCTTTAAAGATTTGGCTTTCGTTCGCTTTCTTTGCCATCGAAAACGGTTTTGAATTTAGTTTTTATGTCCTCGTTTCATGTGACGTTTGAAAACGGATTTTAAATTTTATTTTTATCATAAATAACTTTCCATTAAAATCACCTTATGGAGCCAGAGATATTTCAAAGACGCCATGCAAAGTCAAAGCGTAAAGTGAGGTTTTATGGAACAAAAAAAAACCTAGTGAGATTTAATACAACAAATAACTTTTCTGACAGTCTCCTTCATGGCTTGTTTGACTTCTCTGATCTTCCAGCAGTAAAGAATCGGGTTCAGAGCTGGGTTAAACAGCACATATGGGATTGATACACAAAAATGCGCTATTCCAGTGGCCACACCAGTTAGTTTTCTGTGTGTGAATAGCATACTACCAACAGTAAAGGGAACAAAACACAGAAGTAAAGCCAACTGTACCCATGCTATACTAGAAACCGACTTCTTATATCTTTCCATATTCAGTCGACCTTCTCCTCCGTTTGATGATGGTTCTTTATGGATCTCACGTTCTTTTGCGTGTAACTGAACCTGTTTATTATGTAGGTAAAGGTAGATCTTCGTGTACGAGCAGATGGAAATTATTAGGGACAGAAGCATCAAAACAAACAGCGTGAACTTGGCAGCTTCAGCGCCCCAATTGCTGTACCTCCAGCCACCCATTGCACAACTCAGTAACCAAATACAGGTAATCGCCGCTCGCACGCGCCTTAGAGTAACAACCTGTTTGTATCTCAGCCCCAAAAGCAGCGCCAGAAGCCTGTCCACACTGATTGCTGTTGACATCAAAATAGATACGGAGCACAAAATTGAGCCAGAAATACCAGTTACTTGGATGCTGTAGTAAACAAGATTCTTGTGGCTTATCCCAGGAATAAGAGTTATTGAGTATATCGGTTGTATGATGAGACCAACGAAAAGATCAGTGATCGCCAAACTTCGAAAAAAAAGTTTTGTTGGAGGATAAATAGACGTTACTTTACGCAAAGCGATGAGTAGAAGGGCATTACCCAGAGTTCCGATGATGGCGAGAACTATGTTAAGTACCGCGAGAAAAACAGATAAACCATCCGGAGCACTGCGTATGAAGTGCAACACTTCTGTGTTGACTGTGTTAGCTTCATCCTTGGCTGTGATGTTGGCCATGCGATGTGTTCTCGACTAATCTCAGCTCAGAGTCGTTGTTGATGATTTTTCTTCAGCATCACAGAGATGAAACATGAACTGAAAAGAACTAATCGAAGACCTTTTTCGCTTCGAGTCGTAAATACAAATATCGCGTCAAACCATTATTTAAGTAATGATTTGTTTGACGGGAACCAAAGAGACAGAAACCAGCAGAGAACAAGGGTGTCAAACGAGAGTCGCAAAACGACAAAATAGTGACGTTTAGCATCCTTTATTTAAAGATGAACAATGCCCTGACGTAGTTCTTAAATACCTTAAAGGGCATCAAACTGTCAATCCCGGTCCGGTCAATTACAACGCAGCACGACGAACAGTTTGGCAGATTTGAAATATCTGTCGGTGATCTACAAAGGCGGAGTATTGGTAGAGCATTTTTGAAATGGAACATCTGTTTGAGTGCACTTCTTAATTTGGTATTGATAGCCATTCCTTATGATGATGTGATGTCTTATATAGTGCAATTCGATATTGACTTTTTCGCGTAAAAAAAATAATAAAGAAGAAAGAACACTAGTTATTCTTAACGAAACAAAAGGGATAGTAGTCAAAAAATGTTCTTCAAAAGAAGTCAATTTCGGGTATCGTTTGAGATTCAGGCTGTAACGAAAATCTTCGCTTTTGGCTCTTGGATTTTTCCAGTTCACATGTTATAGTGTCTTCCAATTTTTTTTTTGTTTTTTTTTTGCAATCTTAAGTATGAATTCGATTCAGAAAAAGCGGAAACCTTTATCGTTCGGGTGACAACTGGTAACAACCTGAGGCCTATTTTACCTCCACTTTAGACTGAGAAATGACTCGATTTCTTTGCAATTTCGATGTTTTCGCATTTGCTTCCCAGCTGTAATGTCTGGTAGAGAAAAAAAAAAAGGGAATGGTATTACCATAAGTTATCGAACCAACGACCATCATGCTCCAATATGGGAACTTCAATGTGACGTCACTTTCCGTAAGTGGCACATTCGTTTATCGAGTAAACACAATAACTTGTTTTCAATGTGGTGCGATAAGATAACTCTTCTTTGTCACATTAAGGGCACCTCGAAGTTCAAAATTATTCACAATCGTATGATAGTGGTTCTTTCGTTTTAAATCAATTAGGGAATAAGTGGCGGGGGGGGCAGTAGAACACAAGTGTATTAGAAGGTGATTGAAACATCGAATCTCCCTTTTTTCCATGTGGCTAAAGTCATATCCTCTTTGTTCACAGTCCGGAGGTCACGTGGCGTGATATGCAGCACCTGATTGCTTATTCGTCCAACCATGATTTGCCTCGTTCTGATGACTGGATGCAAAATGCTGCTGGGCTCTGGGGTGAGATTATCATTTTACCAAAAAGACTGAAGTTAAAAAAAACGTACCGTGAGGAGAATCAGATTTATGATCGTTTTCACCCCCGAGTCCCTTGTGAAACTAAGAACCTCGTACCCTTAATTTACAATATTGCAGTCGGATACTTCTCCAACTGAGCTACAGAAAACTCCTTGTTTAACCAAGTATATAGTATTTTAACGTTCGGCCAGAAGAGTTAGGATAAATAATACGCTTATCGTTTACAGTTAGTAATTACTTTGGATTTGGACTCATGGATGCAGCGACTTTGGTAAACTATTCCAGGTCTTGGCATACAGTGCCAGAACAGATCAAATGCGAGATTCCCCGGCCCAGACTGAACAGGTAATAATGAATTTTACCGAGAATTTTGGCATGATTTCATCTCTACCTTTATTAGGTTGAGCATGCTGAAAAAGACTGGCTTTGCCAGCGGACAGGATGAAGGGTGCTGTAGATTATTTTAGGACCTCCCTAATCGAGCAATCTTTTGATTTTTGTACTTTTTTTCGGTTGAAAAGCTCAAATGAAAGTTCCACTTGTCTTTTCGAAGATTGTGCACAATCAAGTTAAAAAAAGCTAAAACACATGAAGCAAAGAAATCTGTCGGGCTTCATAGCCATATCCCGGTTATAAAATCAAAGGCTATTGTGAATTAAGGTGTGAAACTTGTCACCGTAACTGATGCTTCTATTTTGCAGATTTTTGGGGCAGTATGGCGACACGAAAGTGACTCTGAACGTGTCCAAATATAGCTGTGGTGGCGAGAACACCATCCAGTACTTGGAACACGTGGTCGTTATAATCCAGGCCAGGTTTGACAGGCGTGGTTATCTTGAAGGGAATTTGACCTCGCCTCGAGGGACCACATCCCAGATCCTTCCCTATCGTGCAAATGACGTAATTGCGACAGATTTCAATAACTGGCCGATGCTCAGCCTGCAGTTTTGGGGAGAAAATCCTGAAGGGGCTTGGAATCTAAGATTTAGGAACCATTTTCCAGCCCACGAATTTTCAGGTAAGAGGGCTTTACTGATTCCTTTGCACAATTGCAGGAAACATCGCAACAAATGTTTGACAGCCGCTTCAACATCACGATGTTGCGGTGAATGAAGCTAAATACCGAACCTTGGTATTACGACGCCCCTACCCCCCCCACCTCTATGAAAGCTGCACAGAAGCGGAAGGTTATGACAGTTTTTTCCACGTGAACTACAAGTCTTGGATAAGCTGCTAATTTATTTAAGATTACTCTATTGCTTTTTTTTTTTTTTTTTACATTTTTCAGGTTATTTGTTTAATTGGACCCTTGTTCTTTACGGAACAGCTAGTGATCCGTTGGAAAAGAATCCTCATGTATCAAGACCTTTCACCACGAGGATAAGTGAGTAGATGCCCATATACCGTACACATTATTCCCAAAACGTTGGCCTAAGAGTTTAACGACTTGAGTCATCAGTGGAAAAATTACAAAGAGTTATTTTTGGTGACTGTTCGTAAGCTGCTAGAGTGATCCATCTTTCGATGACAAGTCTCAAATCGCTTTACAAACAGCAAACGCATTCACTGATTTTCTTAGCGTATTTTTTAACAGATACTGTGCCTGTTCCCCATCTCTTTCTCTCGTCATTTGAATTAGAAGGAGCTACGTGAGTTTTTTTTTATTTCAAAATTTGCTCTAAATTTTTTCCAAGAGTGTCATTGTAAATCCGTTTTAATCTTGGCTATCCGAACCATCCTTGTTTCTTTTTGGTTTATTCTCACATCTTCAAGGTTTTTCTTTCCTTGCACACTGATAATTATTTTTACTATGAGTGGCAAAAGTAATCGGCACGCCTCCTCTAACTAGGTGGTCGACCACCCTCCACTCAACATATTAAACGAAATTATTGTAATTTGTCTCCAATAAGTTACATGAAAGTCCTCTCCCCCCCCTTCCTCCCAAAAAATGTTGCCTAAAATTAGTGAGAATTTTGTTGAGATCAGGCATGAAATAGGAGAGAGGGTGAGAAAAATGAAAGTTATAGAAAAAATCATTAAGTAGTAGAGTGTGCTCAGAATCTTGCCACTCATTTTATTTCTATTAGAATATCGTCGCATAGATTCTTTGTTACCGTTTATTATCTCAAAAGGAGTCCTCTCCTGAAAAATAGCGATTCTTTTCCTTCTTGTAAAAATGATTCCTCCATCTGCAGACCTTTTTTTAATTAAATTTTTACTCAATTATTTAGGCGAAATAAAAAGTTTTCTCCTTAAGTGTTTGGACCATAATGTCTGGAGGGATTTTTAATTGGAGAAACTAATATTATTTTGCGGGTGAAGTTAAAGTTTACTTTTTTTTCCTTGGTGTTTAAGGTAACATGCTTTTAATTGATATTTTTATCCCCTACACATGTTATCAGACGTGACCACAAGTACAGAAGTCATGCCGGGTACTGCTGTTCCTGTTGCTCGCCATGAAGGTGAACATGTCAGCTTTATTTTTTGTTGTTTCTCCAGCATAATAGAGACACATCGTTTGACCCGTGTTATTATTGGCACTGCCTCTAACAAAATTGCTTGACCCCGTAATTACCTTGTGCATAACATCAATGACCGATTATGAAACAACAGAATTGTGTTATATTGAAGTTCGCAAGGCAACCAGTTGGACAATCGGACATGGTTTGATGCTACTCTGGTTAAAAGATTTAATGATTGTAACCGAGAAGTTACAATTCATAGACCCAACGTTTCGACACTCCTGTCTAGTGCCTTCATCAGGGGTGGAAGCCCTTCATCAGAGGTGGAAGCCCGTAATGAAGGCACTAGACAGAAGTGTCGAAACGTTGGGTCTATGAATTGTAACTTCTCGATTAAAATCATTAAATCTTTAAATCGTAGTAGCATCAAAACATGTCTGATAATTATGTGTGTTTCGGCAAAATGTTATTGACGAGAACACTTTTTGACGCTTATTATTCGAGAAGTGAATCTAAGTCAGGAATAATCCTGGAAATATCTCCCAGTTTACGCCTGCTTCAAATTCCCGGACTATCCAGATAGAATCGATAAAAGTACACAACTACAAACACTCCTTTACTCCCGTGACCCGAATGAAGTCAATCTTGTCAGTGGTTTCTTGTGCATCGTGTCATCCTCGTGCTTAACCAAAGTTTTGTTGTGTTACAGGCTTGTCGAAGACAGAAATAGCTTTGATGAGCAGCGCCGCCGTTATTGCTTTGATTATTGTTATTTTAGCTTTGGCTTATTGTAAGTTTAGAGTTTGTCGACGAAAATCAAGGGCCGATAAACCATCCAACCACATCAAGTTTTCAGCGTTAAGTCGCACTTCGACAGAAGCTGCAAGGGAAGAATCCACGCAAAGTGTTTAACTGAACGAAGCAGGCAAGTTATCTCCACGTTCGGTAACTGTTCCTACCCTTCACAGTAGGTAGAGGAAGGAATGGCACAAAGAAAATACGTTTGTAAACCGAATCCTCAGAGCCACTCATAAAGATGAGTTAGATCTCGGGAGGATTTGGAAATGATTCAGAAGGAAAACGGGTTGCGGTATTGAATATTGCTTTGTGGTCAATTTATGAGAGGACTGAGGTCATCATTACAATGCATATAGACAAATGTTAGTTATAAAACGGAATAAATAAGGAAATATTTAATGATGTTGCAGTTGTGATTTAGCGTCGGGGAGAAGCTGGTGAAGAGAGATATTCGAAACCAAAATAAAATTTACACCGAAGGGTTTGATTATCAATTGCTTGTCGAAATATGCTGACTTTACAACTGATGTATTACTGTTATCGCCATCAGTGGAGTTCTTTCGATGAAAAGATGACGACCCCTTGTTTCTTATTTAAGTAAAACACGCAAGCTCACCTTCTAGCCACAGTGAAATACTCTTAACATTAAATGATTTTCGTAAAGAAACTCCCGGTTACTAAATTCTTTAGGTAAACTCCTAAGTAACCTCGAGGGATTTCAAATAAAGTAGAACGCCACTTTTAGGAATAACTAATTCTAGATATTTCAAATGCACAAAGGAATCTTAGAATCAAATATTATTACCTTATATTGAAAGTACTGAAAATTAGATTTCGACTCGATTAGCGCCGTCGACTTTGGTGGAACACGATACGGCCTAAAAGTTAACATCCAAAGAAGTCAAAGAACCTCACGAGCTGACCCTCAGTTAGGAGGCCTTGATTGGAGCCCTGGACCGAGCCCTAGGGCCAGAAAAATTAGACCTCTCAAGACTGATAATAAACCAATTTAGTTACTCGATTAAGGTATTTACCCCGAGAAAGAGTTTAAGGGGCGGTAGCTGTGTAGATTTTCAAACGAAATTTCTTTTTCAATTTTTGGCTTTATTTTTACATATCTGTTAACTCTCTCTAGAGTTATGGTTGAGAGGGTGTCGGAGAAAAGAGGAGGGGCTCTCTTAATGAGAGTTTCGTGTGCCTTGTACATAGAGGGGCTGTGAACAATAACGTGGACATTCTCAAGCAAAAGATTATTTAAGAAACAGTTAATAATCTCTTTTTCCCAAGTGATGACGAAATTCTGCCCGTGGCAATTCGAATTCTGATAATTGATATTTTTAAACTCGAACTCTAAATACATGGACAGCTACTGAGAGAGCTGAATTGAAGAATTTTGATTGAATTTTTAATTTCAAACACTTCATGTGCAAAAAAAGGCACCAAACTTATCACTGTTTGAAAGTCCTCAACCCACCGTGCGTTTACCCAGCATACACAGCAAACCTAACGATTTATCGTTTGTAAGCGAGGCTGAAACCAAAGGCCATCCCGGAAGTAGCGTACTTTCGATTTCGATAGTTGCAAGCGAAGCAGGGTTTGGAAATTGCAAGTCGCGTAGCAGAACAAACAAATTGCAGAATCGTGTAGAGAAATGGTAAGTTCGTTAGTGTTTTCTGTGACTAGCAAAGTAAGATTCCCAAGAATATTAAGACGTTAAACGCAATTTGGCGAGAAGAGAGGGCCTCCTCCACTGTAACAGCCAAGACGAAACGATCGAAACGATCGAAACGAAACGATCGAAACGATCGAAACGATCGAAACGAAACGATCGAAACGATCGAAACGAAACGACTGTAATTACCAAAATTAAACGAGAAGAGAACAATCGAGAAGAGCGGACAATGAAATGCCGACGAAAATGTAGATTTCACTTCAGATATTGTCTACATTTAAGGCCTTTAAATATTAAGGCCGCCTCACAAATTTATCTTGTGTAGCCCTGTTGCAGAGGCCAACCCAAGCCAATGGCAATTGAGAGACAACTAAATTTTCCCGTGAGGTAGATCAGGAGTAGACCATAATCGAAACGAGATGAAATGGGCATTCGTTTTATTACGTTTCGGTCTTTTCATTTCGCTGTTTCTGGTTTTAGTAAATACCCCAAAACTGTGCAGTGACATGTCATCCGGTCGTTACTCAAATCTAACAGTACTGTTAATAAGCTTTTAACTATAGCTCCATGGAGTACATGAATTAAACTTCCCTAGCTAGTCGTTTGAATCGACCATCGCAGTGTGGACTTACTGCATTAATCTGGGTTACCATTTTCCTTAGAGAAGTAAATGATGGGAGACATACATTGTAAGAGCAACATTGTAAATCAAGATTATCTAAAGCTTGAAAACTATCATTCACAACGCAAGTTCTCAATGCAGTAATTCTAACATGAAGAAGTGTTAACTTAACTCGTTATAAGTTTATAACTAAAAGTCTAAAAATCATTCCTTAACCCTTAACTCCCCAAAGAGTTAAGCACACAACTTCTCCTTACAATATACAAACATTTTCCAGAAAACAGTTACTATGAGAATATTCAAACTTATTCACATAAAAGTTGCTTTCTCGATCTAACACCAAATTCTTCAGACAAATTTACAAGGAAATGTGCAGCAGTTAGAGGGGAGAGTTTACAATCAGATCTTGGGAGTTAATGGGTGAAATAGGGGCAAAAAAGCAAGAGAAAAGTCTCAGAGCCATTTTTTAACCAAACACGTTGCTTTTCATATTTAATGAGATAATGAGGAAATTAATTTATCCAAGAATTATAAATTACATGAAGAAGCTATGTATCTTATGCATGAACAGCAAATATTTGTATGCAATCTTTTTACTACTCATGCACTTCACTTCTTCAATGAAAATATTACTTCTATTGATAATGGAAAGTACTGTTCTTTAGTTGTCTTCAAAGATCTTTGTCAAGTTTTTGATTCTGTTGATCCTTCAGTCTTTCTTGTAAAGCTGGAGTATTATGGTATTCTTATTGTTGAAAATGATTGCATGGTGTGTATCCTATCTAAACAAATCTAAACAACAGAGAACCATTTATGTCCATGGAATAATTGGCATACCACTTCAGATTACCAACTGTAACATACATTGGTTTACCTCAGGGGTCAGTGTTGGAACTTACTGGTACATCTTTTTCTATGTATTTAGATAATTTGATGAAATGCACCAATGCTAAAGAAAATCTGGAATTTTAGGATTTTTTTCCTTTTGACTGATCAGGGTATAATCTCTAAATCTGGAGGAATACGTTTCTACACATTTTTTGGCCACAGCTAAAGAGTGGTTTTTGGTGGTTTTTCACATCTGATGTGGCACACATTTTTCTTGTAGAACCCCTAGTGTCAGGGTGCACATATTAAGATTGTATCAGGATGCGTATAATAGAAGACTGCCTTCCTCATCCTAAATAAACTTTTCACATTGAATTTCTCATGTGAGTGTAGTCAGAATTATGTATTATTGGCAGGCCTCTAATTATTCCGTAAACATATATACTATAACTTAATTCTCAAAACCAGAGCAACACTCTTAACAGTTCTTCAAGGAACCTGCTATCTTTAAATTACTTAACTTTGTTACCTTCACATTACATTTTTCATGTTTAAAAATCATGAAGATCTTATGCCCATAAGCTTTTGAACTCTTTTCTCAGACAGTATAATCAATACATTCACCTAATATTCAACTTGCATTGAAATAATTTTATTTTATCAATTCCTTGAAACAAACAACAGAAATTGTGTAATAATTTCATTGAGGCCTTCAGCTGCTGTAATTAAAATAAAAATGAATTAAAAAGAAGCCTCTGAGAATTCACTGATCTACAGTGTCATCCCCAAAGGCTCAGATAATTTTTTTTAAAGTTTAAAGTAGTTTAAAGCCTCACTGGAAACCATTGTACCATGAAGGACAGAAGGACAGCATGAAATAATTACTGAACTACAGAAAGGTTAAAAGCTGCCTCCCAGAAGCAGAAGTATGGAATTAAAAAGTCTGAATTAGTCCCTTTGATTAGCAGAAAACCATTTCTTTACTTTATTTCTTAAATTAAAATTTTAGAATAAGAAGTTGATTAACACCAGAATGAGAATAAATTTTAATTGGTCCTCAGAAATAAGATTTAAGGACTGAATGTTGGTACAATGCATAATTGCCCTAAAACCAGGATAAATTTCCTTTCTTTTTTCGGTAAATTGATTTGTCATAAAATGAGCACAACAACTAATAAGTAAGGGTTTTTTCCTCAGGGATGATGATTCCTTTTCAGTCAGCTATCTGTAAGACATGGAACTCATTGATTATTTGTCCAATTTTGTTTCTATGCAGAGGCATGAAGTCCACCGTTAAGTGACAAAGACATGATGGTTTGAGGGATAATGGCAACAGCAGGAGCATCAGGAGGGTAAGATAAGCTCTACATTTATTTATTTTATTATTTTTATTATTTTTTTGCTGTCAGCTGTTATTTGTGCAAACATTCTGTCCCTTTAATGAAGGATGTACCATTATTTAGTTAAACCTAAAATGATGGACTTTTGTATTTCCTTATTAAATCCAGCCCTAATTTTTTGATACAATTTGAAATTATTTATCATTGTGAATGCTTGATGTGAAGGTGGGGGGAGGGGCAGTATAGTCTATGATCATCAGATTAGGGAGGGTTAACCTGTTAACCCTTTAACTCCCTTTTGACCGAGACAGAATTTCTCCTGACGATATAAACACAATATCAAGCTGACAAGTGATGAGAAAAAAAATCAATTAGGGATTATTAGTTGATCCAACACCAAATTCTCCAGAATAAAATCACAAGAACTGACTGGTAGACAGTAAGGAGAATTACTAATGAGATCTTGAGATTCAAAGAGATAACATGTTGTATTGAGAACCTTGCCTGCTGTATATTGGTCCATTTTAAAGTAAATATAGGAGGAAATATTTGGGACCTAAGCTAGTATCTGTTCAATGCAGAGTTTCACTTTTCATGAGGTCTACTCAAGAAGACTCCATAGGGTTTTTTGACCACATGAGATCTGGGTGTGAACATAGCTCAAGTTTTAAAAGGGTCAACATGCAAAACAAACATGGCAGCTCCATATGATCACACGGTTGTTATCTGAAGAGGTGTATTAAAAACAGTTTAAAAAGATACATTTTTTATGTAATGGAATCTAGGGTTTCCAGCAACTGCACCTGTAATATTCATGGGCTTTGACTTAATGCCTGAAAAAGAAGTCAATTGAAAAGAAAACACAGTGGGAAAGATTGCCAAAAGGCAACAGATTTAAAAGTTTACACATAATCAGATACCATGCAGTCTTGGCAAAGTTCTATTCCATTATGTTAAGTTTTATGACAATGAAAATAGGAATCTTTCAAGTTAGATTTATCATGTTTCCTTTGGTGAAATTTCCTAAGATTTGTTGAACTGTTAAACTTATTTGTGCCCTTTCTAGTGCCTTTTGATCAAAAAAATTCGCAAGACCAAATTTGAGATAGAGGAAGAAAAGATAAAATTGCAAACAGCAAAGAAACTGCCTTTGTAACCCCTATTTTTTTGGCTTTTAAATGATCAGAAAGAAAATTTCACAAATTGCAAAAATTTTGAGAGATTTCACCAATGCAAATCAAAGAAAATCAAAGGCAAAGCCAAATTATCATGGCAAGCACCTCCCTCTGTGCAGCCTTAGCTTAATAATGAAAATCATTTTGATAATATCAGCAAATGATAGTCCAAACCTTGCTCATTGCCTTTTAATGGCTTTTAGTGACCTTCAAAAGTGAAAAAATTTAAAATTCATTATGCTGGCGTGTGCCAACATTGAGCAAAAACCCTGTGGAGCCTCCTTAAAGGAGGCCTCTTTGTTTCTCAACCATTGGTTTGAAAATATACCCTTCTCTAGGTATCACATTTAGAAATTCTAAATCCTATCCATGACTCTAATGTTTGCAAATATGGCAGCACAAAACCATGTTCCTTAGTTTTTCCTTAGATTTTCCACCCCTCTTTCCCTTGGGAGGGTGGTACATGCCTGTAGCATATGTTTGGGAGTATCGCCCCCCACCTCCTCCATTGATAAGTTTGAGTTTTGATTAACACATCATTTCAAACCTCAAAGACTAATGGACCATAGTCTGTGGTGATCTCACATTTTAAACACAAAGAATCACTTGGTTGTTCTTTGCTTAACTGTTGGATTCTGGACCTGCAGTCCAAACCAACAATGCAAATTTAAAGTCCACCTATACACCACTTGGATTTGCCATTGCAAAAATATTGGCACGTACCTTTTATTTATTTATTTATTTATTGAATTCATAGATCCACACTGCACAGTGTTACAGAAAACCAGAAGCGATGGTTGGTCTTTGGAATTGCACTGAGCAAAGTTCTAGTTTCCCAAATACGCCCTTTTGTAGAAATAGAAATCCAAAGAGAATATGGCAACCTTCAAACCAGCCATGGCATTCATACTCAGAGCACATCAGGGCGTCTTAAGCATTGGCCAAAGTTCTTAAAGTATGAGAACATCAATGGTAATGATAGAATTCCTAAGCTGCCTCATGGAAAGTATGACTTCTCCAAGTTTGATTGCCGAGTGATGTCACATGTTGACTTTGCTAAGTTGTATGTGGAGAATCATATGGCTAAATTCAATGCGTTTGATGAGTTCTGTGATGCATCAGCCATCCTGGCACTTCTTGGCAGAGTCCCAGTGTTCTCTGTTGATGTACAAAGTGCAGCAGGTGCTGTAAGAGAGGCTAGGAATGCCTGGGCGCACTGTGCATTCTCTGAATGGGATCCTGTGAATTATCAACAAAACTTTGCTGCTATGGAACAGCTTGTTAAGAAACTTGGCCTTCCAGGTTCCAGCACAAAGGACCTTTTAACAGAGCTAAAGAATTGGGAGGGAAAAGGTATCTTCTTTTATTTATATTACATTTATTTTCTTTAAT